TTCTGAGACTTAATCTATTATTCCATGCCCTGAACATAAGACAAATGGCCTTGACTTCTGTCTGGTATGCTTTTAAGTATTTAAAAAGGGCCTACCATACCCTTTCTCAATTATTTTTCTCAAAAGCAAATAGCCTCATTGTTCTTTAGAGGGTACAGATTCGAATCCTCTAATGAACTTTTGATGTTCTTTTCTGCATCTATTCCAGTTTCTACTAATTCTTCCCAAAGTCTGATGTAATCAAGGTGAAGTCTAACCAAAACAAAATAAAGTGGAATGATTATTTTCCAACATTTTGAAATTAAGAGTTTTCTTGATGCAAATTAGTTTCTAGTTGCATTTTTTGCCTCTACATTCCCTTCAGATTAATATTCAGTTTCTATCAACTACGATTCCATATGTTGTAAAAAAACAAGTATTATTACTACATCAGGTAGCCTCACTTATTATCTCCCAAATCATTTAGATTAATTATTCCTAATTGAAGAATTTAGAAAGATTGAAACACAGTACAGGAAAAAAAACACCATACTGAACAATGAAATGAAAGACGGAGAGAAAAACTGTTTATTCTTAATTTGCCATAACAGTGCTATATTTCTAGCATGGGAAGATGTATGAGATAAAATTGCATTGCAATGATTGCAGCAAAATATGGGTTTTTATTACAGTTTCATAATAAATATGAGTATAATGTGCATTTCAAGCATAATTTATTTTCATATAAAATTTCTATGCAGAATGAGAATTAAGATTCCTTTGGAATGTGTTCATATGGGTTATTTTATTTTAAATGTGCCTGTCTATTGATTGGCTGGTTTGTCTGTGTTTATTCCCCCAGCTCTAAAACAAAATTAAACAGAAGCATAGTGTGTAAATTGGCAAAGAAACTAAAAATGTCTAGCACAGATGAGTTAATTAAGAACTTTATTCTATTAAAGTTGTCACTGTAATTCTGGTGCATTTTTAATGTGGTTCCCTAGTGCATTTTATCACCTCAAAGACTTGCTTTTATTATGACAGTTAAATCAAGCATCCTTAATATACCAAAATCAAGGCAGCCACTGGAAGACTAAATTGAATGCTAAGAATGGTGTAAATGATAATTATCGAAGTGATGAAAAAGACAGAATAGCTTTTCTTGATGTGTTGATTCGGATCTAAAAATAGACTTTACCAAACCTCTTAACTTGTCAACTATGATCATGAATGTTCCATCTACATTTAATGATGTGACCCTTGTTCTAAGGTTTGTAGTGGCTTGTTGCAAAATGTCTCCTACAGAGGAAAGGAGTTCTAAAGGACTGGCATAAACATGGTAAGACTCTCTAAAATGCTATGGGACTGAAATTTTGGTTGCATTAGGATTCCTTTGCAGTAAAGAACTGAACTCTAGAAAGACTCTAGAAAGAGTGCAGAGAAGAGCAACAAAGATGATTAGGGGACTGGAGACTAAAACATATGAAGAACGGTTGCAGGAACTGGGT